ATATATATATATATATATATATATATATATATATATATATATATATATATATATATATATATATATATATATATATATATATATATATATATATATATATATATATATATATATATATTGATCACGGCATGCATGCACCTTTGTAATTGTTACATGTACGGTTATGGCACAACCAAGTGCTTCTTTGCGCACAATGTGATGGAATATATTAAAACGCCGGTGTTCTTCATCGTGTCTCAGTATGATTTTATCGAGGCAAGTCGATCTCTCCCGGACGGACACTCTCTAATTTGTCTATCAATTGAATAATTATAATATTACTCCCTCCGTCCCAAAAAGATTTACACGTTTCAAAAAAATTACGTCCCACAATCTCCTACTCATTTCTATTAAAAAACCACTTTTATCCCTTACTTTTTCAAATCCTACCTATCACGTCATACCTTTTTTCCTAATAATTTACACATCACATCATACTTTTACCCATCACATCAAGGGTATTTTTGAAAACTCAACACAAAATAATCTCTCCCTTAATTTCTACTTTAGTCAAAATGTACTCATCTTTATGGGTCAGGGGGAGTATATGTTTAGTGTGCATTAGCTAGCAATAATAATATTTACTCCCTCCGTCCCTAAATAAACTTCCTCTTTTATTTTTTCTTTGTCCCCAAATAAACTTATCTTTTCCTTTAAAAAACCTCTTTTACCCCTTACTTTTTCATACCCTACCTATCACATCATACCTTTTTACTACTCCCTCCGTCCTATATCTTTCTTCCCGTTGCGCAAAACGAAGAAAAATCTCGAGTTTTTTCAATCTATTTTATTTAAATATTGGTATAGAAATAAAAAATAAAACATACATATTTAAAAACTACATCAAAAGTTCAACAAAACAAGTGGTGACAAGAATATTTTATTTTATCATATAGGCTATGAAAAAACACAAATAAATATAAATTCCCGTGAAGTTGGAATAGTGCTCTGGGAAGAAAGATATAGGACGGAGGGAGTGATAATCTACATATCACATCTTACTTTTGCACATCACATCAAGGGTATTTTTGGAAAGTCAACACAAAAATATCTCTCCCTTAAATCCTCAAAAAGTCAAAAACGGAAGTTTATTTTAAGGACGGAGGGGAGTAATATACTCTGATATGATCGGTAGACTTAATTTTGGTTGCATTCAGATCTCATGGACTACGGGGCTGTCAAAACATTATTATGCAACTTGTGTTCTGGCCAAGAATTGTTCATCCCAACAACTTAAGATTATGCAAGGTTCGTTACTGTTGCAAATCAATTCAAAATGTTATTCTATGAGTAATATATGCGCATGGAGTAATTATATACTCCCTCCGTCCTAAAACTTTCTTTCCACTTTCCCTTTTTCTCTGTCCTAAAAAATGACAAATGACATTAATACCCTCATGTATTTACAGCAATTATCTTCTAACTCTATATTTTGAATGATTGCAAAAAAAATTCAAAAAATCTTTTTTAAGGAGGGTAAAATTTGAAGTCAAAGCCAAAAATTAAAAATGGATAAAAGTCAAACTGAGAAAAAAGTTTTAGGACGGAGGGAGTATGTATTAGACTAATATGACATCCATATTATTCTTTACTACCCAAATTAAATGCTTCCTCAGTCCCACAATATTTCTCCTTACTTTTTTCATCCGATCTAAAAAAAAACTTTTCTCATTTGTTTTAAAAAGTCACTTTTATTCATATTAATTCTTAACTTACTCATCACATCACACATTTTCACTATTAACATACTTATCTCATGCTTT